TTTGTGGGGCTAGAGAGATGGCTCAGCGATTAAGAACACTGTTCTTGCAGAAGACCCAGGTTCGAATCTCAGTACCCACATGGCAGCTAACAACTGTCTGTAACTCTAGTTCCAGAGGATCTGACAGCCTCTTCTGTCCTCTACGGTCATTCATTGCACGACATGGGTGCACTTACCTACATGCAGGCAATACACATGTACACATAAAATAATAAATAAAATAGTTTTTAAAAATTGAAATTTATATAAACAAGAACTTTATTATAAGTATATCTGATGAAATATATAGGTAATACACTAACATATGAGATTTGACTTTCACTGCTGTTCTGTATTTCACTTAATAATTCCGGGTATTAAAAATAAATAGCTAAAAGTGGAAGGCATAGGTAAATAGTCCATGAAGAGATTCTACACCCAAATATGGGTACAGGTTTTGCTTCCAGCATGACCACCTATGAGGACCCTGGAATTGGTTGTGAGTTTCCTATTACACATAGGGCAGAGAGAAAAGCTGCGTATTGTTTGCTTTTGGGGAAGCAAACCATATTGGAATCTCCTCATGTTGATGGAGCTTTGGCAGTTCTCATGGAGCCAAGGTACACCATTTTACTTCAGAAGATCTAAGTTTGTAAAGCCATGGGCTAGAGAAGCAACTTTCCATGGAAACTTATTATTAAAGTAAAAATAACCTACCAGTATGCAATTCCATGTTGGAATTGTGTGGTGTGCTGGTTTTGGAGCTGATGGAAACACATATGAACCCAGTCTGCTTGAGTGATGTGATGTTAGTAAACTAAAAGATATTTGATACTCTTCAACAGCCTAGCTGCTCTACAAGCTGGACAGTGGGCCCGTGGGAACTCAGAACAGGTCTAAAGCCCATAGCCCATAAGGTTGTTTAAAATACCATCTTCAAGAGAAATGTAATTCCTGCTAAAATTTAAAGCAAAATTGCAGCAGCAAAAATTTTAAAAATGGCAATGAGTTAAGGCTGGTCATAGCGTGCCCTTTTTCTTTAGGATAAGTTTGATGTTTTGATAAGCTACAATATACTTACATTTACCACTAACAAGCACATAATTTTGGCTCATACAAATATATTATCAGAACTAATAACTACAAAATTGTATCACAAGTGAAATAAAAATGACACAATTTTCAATTAACACCTTTACAAATTCTATAGAATAGTTTATCAATGTCATTGGGACCACAAACAATTTTAAACATCATTTTAAACTCTATATAACACAGGAGCCACCAGTGATGGCAAATATAGCATTTATACCACAGTGTCACTAAAAGCTATGGAAAAGACTAAAATGTAGTAAAATAAAATGCTTTAAAATTGTATTTAGCATATCCTGAGGGGTGCGACACTGCATCGTTTTCTCTTAGCAGTTCCAGACATGAATACTTTCCCTAAGGAACTCCCCTTTGGTTGAGTAACCAAAGTTAAAAGATTGTGTCACTGAATATTTGTAAAATTGTAAAACTGAAAAACTAATGAAAACATGCATTTCCTGAGACTTCAACTTTCCAGTCTGTAATCCTAACAGGTAAGAACCTGAACAGGTGACACTGCCAAAAATCATCTCAGAACTTCACAGGACTGAAAACAGCTTTAAGTGAAGGTGTGGATATTTGTAATTTGTATTCAAGTCCATGTTAGATTCTGTAGCTTGAAGCATAATTGACAATGTTTACATAGAGCACTATGGCCAGATGTTTCCAGTTGTAAGTCTCATAGTGTCTTTCTTCCCTTAAATATTCAAACACGGAACTATGTTCATGCCTACTAATATAGGAGACATTGAGATCAAGAATTAAAATTGTAATAGAACGTTTGGATGATTAGATGAAGCATCTATGGTGTATGTGTGTTTGTGTGTGTATTCATGCATGTTTATGTGTATATGTATTTGTATGTTTACATGTATATGTGCTTATATGTATATATGTGTCTTTGAGAGTGTATAAGTGTGTATGTGTATTTTTGTGTATATATGTGTGTGTTTGTGTGTATATGTGTATGTTTATGTATGTTTATGTGGGTATTTATGTGTGTATGTGTATATGCATTTTTGTGTGTATCTGTGTGTTTGTGTGTGTATGTGTGTGTGTACAGGTGTGTCATGCCAAACACTTTATGCTCTTATACATTCTCTGTTAGGTGGCACTCCGTGAAACGTGAGTTTTCCCAATATGGCTGAAACTGAACGTTGAGGTCATCATATAGGGTATCCTAAGGCTTTTGAAAGATGCCTCCTCATTCTCTGTGCTCACATGACTATGTAGTAATAAGGGAGACAGAAATGATAATGGCAGAAGTATTCACTATGTTGGTCCTTTAAAATTACTGACAGGAAAGCAAATGTAAAAATAATTTTATTTGCTTATTTTTCCCTCATTTTACTCTGTTGATTTCCTGCTGTAGATTAGGTAAAAGTTGGATTTTTCATTTTGTTTTTTGCTTTGTAGGACTTGTGACATAAAGTCTTAGGGTGAAAGCAAAACAAAAGGTACATGCATCTACTCTTGAGGCCAAGTTGTAGCCCTTGTGCTCCTAGGGATCTAGAAAGACAATGTCTAGTGAGGAGAAAGGAGCAGAGGCTGTGGGTCAGATTTAATTGCATATCGTCATTTCTTTAAGGAAGGCCCACAGCCTGTTCCACATGTTCTCCACGGTGGGCCTGCGAGCAGAGGACAGCCAAAGGCACCTTGCTATTTCCCTTTCTAAAGAATTCCTTTGAGTAAATTCTCTCATAGTTCATTTCTATCTCTGTCCTTCTTTGGAAATTAAGGCACGTCCACTTATCTCAGTGCCTACCACCTAGGGATTTTATGTCCACGTGGCAATCATAACTTCCTACTGAAAGTACCTTTTCTCTAACAAGATTCTATGAGGACATCATTAACAGCAATAAAAATCTTTCCCACTTAAAAAATTTCACCGTCTAACGCTTCATCACGTTTATTCTTTCCAGTACCCAGATAACAAATATCCCCAAGTTAAATATATGCAAACACTAGAGGAAAGTGTGTAAATTAAAGAAAACACAATATAATTACCTCTATATTGTATTCATTATTCATTAACAGGTTAAAGATCTATTTCTGTTGCATTATAAGTTAAATCATTGTGTCATTGCCAGTGTGCTTAGCTACAGATGCTCTTGAGGGCTCAATAGTGAATTGTCAGAGAGAAAAATCTAAATCAATAGCAAATTTACAGAGCATAAGTGTCAACAATCTATAATCCTTTAAAAAGGATTCATGTTTAGTTGCACAGGCAGAGCAAGTGACAGAGACAGACAATAATCTGCAAGGTACGGAGAAAGGAAGAAGTGGCTAGTGAGAGCAGGGGAATCTTGAAGTCCCAAACTATATATTTTTAATTGTTTTATTGAACATTTTTACATTTCATACCACAGCTCCCTCCCCCATCTGTGCCTTCCCCCCACTATACATGTTAAGCCCTCTCTAGTCAGGTATTTGTAACCAGATGTCCTTTGGTGCAAATTCATCCACTGGAGTCTAGTCATTCTATCTAGAGATTGTAAGTAAGGCCTAATTTTTACAAAAATATTTTGAGTAACTCTTCCATTTTCAATGATTTTTGTAATATTTTCATACATTTTCTGACTTAGTTTCTATTTTATTTTATCTTTTATATTTTTGAGACATATCTCTATGTCACCCAGATTGGCCTTGAGCTCACCATATACCCCAAGCTAGATTTGAACATGTACTGATCCTCCTGCCTTCCAAGTGCTGGGATTACAGACAGGCATGTGCTACCACTCTTGGGTCTGGAACTAGATTTTAAATTATTCAATATTATCAGTGTTTTCATTTGAAAAGAATTGTAGTGTGTTTGCCTATAATCTGTGGGTATTTGTGTATATTTGTATGTCTGTCTGCACCAAAATGTGCGACAAAATACAGACACAACTGAAATGTATAAACATATCTGTTGTGCGCATGGGCATGCTACCCAGTCTACACAGGGACCAAGTTTGTCATGAATGGTCTCTTCAGGATAAATAATTTTTATTCACTATCGGTAGCTGCTAGCAAGTACTATGTTCTAATAATGAATATAAGTCAGCTCTTACTTGTTTATATTCTTGACATGTAAACTTGAAATCAACTCTTTATCTAAGACCAAGAGATTAAGTCATATGTCCTCCACTTAAATCAATTAAAAGCTGAAGGCATTATTTTTTATTTCTTTAGGGACCTGATAGGCATGTAAATGCATTGTCTTGGGAAACTGTTGAGGTTGGAATATTTCCTTGTGTGAATATAAAATAATTCATAATTGTAATAACTTCAGCAAATTGTGTAGATTTTTATAAACACTTCATAATATTTCTGCAAAGTACATAGAGGGGGGTATTGTGCTCTTTGAAAATTGTTTAGGAGTTGTCAAATACGATAAAGACACCCAGGAGGACGCAATACTCTTAAGTATGTTAGCATTGCTCTTCCCTGATTACTGAAAGCGAGGCCATGGAAACTTTGTATGAGAGTTCTGCCCTTCTTCCTTTATTTCATCCCTCAAGGACAATGGAACCCGGAGGTAAAGTGTTAGTGCTGATTTAAACAAGCCTGTCCAGATCACATGCATTTGAAAAATTTGTAAAGGTACCTTATATAGCCTTGTGATTTCGAGGATATAATCTCAAAAGTAGTCTTCTAATTAATTCCCTCTAATTTTCTTCCTTTTTTTTCTAAATTATGAACATGAAGGATCTTAAAAAAATTCTTCTTAATCTGGGATTTAATACTGTGCATTTGGAATTCCAATTTTTTTTACATGATCTTTTGTTTTTCCAGTTTTAGAAAAATTGAAATTATTAAAAGGTTTGGGAAGAGTTCTTTTTAAAGTTACTAATTTCAACACACTTGTAACTTGACATTTTCATGAAATATTGTTTAAGAGTTTGCAGAATTAAAATAACATCCATCTCTGTAGACACTGTCCTTTTTGCACTATGGAGTTCACACTCATAGGCCTTCCAAAAAGTTTTTGCACTTTAATCATAGCTGCCTTACATGGAAATACTGTGAAACACTATTGTTTTTGTATAACACAAAAATCACTGTTAATGATCTCCAGTATTAATATTGCAAGGAAACTGATTTGATGCATAAATTCTGTATGACCAAAAGTTAATTACAGATTCCCCATTGCAGATGGCTACAGAATGCTTTACCAAGTCTCACAAAACAAACAAAGTTCAGCACAACAATGTAATACACATTATTTTGGGCATTCAGTTGTTTTGACACCCATACTGAATCTAATTAGAAAAAGCGAGCGAGCAAGAGAAGAAGTGGAAAGGATACAGGGTACGAACAATATAGGAGCCCTAGGATGAAATTAGAAAATGCAATCAAGTGAACACTCATGAGTTACACATTATAAACATTAATTTTGTAAAACAAAATTTACTGTTAACTTTCTATCCCTAACACTAGAAGTAGATTTTACTCATCAAATAGGAAATGACATATTTATAGTAATGCAGAGTATGGTCACAATCACTGAAGAAATGACTTCCCCCCTTTCCCACCCACTAGCAGCCTAATTCCTTCAGAGACTCAGTGGACTGGGAAGATCGGAGGGTTTACTGATAATATGCGTAATACAATGAATCTTCTCTGTCTTACTCCTGGGCACTCCAGACAGTGACATCAAGTGTTGGCTTCTCCTTCCTCAAAGATATAGTTGAGCTTTATTACAGTGCTGATAAAATCACCAAGTTCTACAAAATCAGCAGTGACAATGTTGATGCCACTCTCTCCTGGCTTCTGTGTGCGGACCCACTGCATCATGGCAGGAAGAGCTCTGAAAAAAAGAAACAAAAGAGAAGTCATAAAAGGCAAGGTTGTGTCATTCCAGGCCTGTGGCTGTGCAATTTACTAAACCAAATATCCCAGGTACAGGTGAGGGGAAAAGACCAAATAACAATGGTGAATTCTTAACTCTTTCTTATTACTTACTTAATTATGTGTAAGCACATATATGTGTGTTACAGTGTACATGTGAAGGTCAGAGGACAGCCTGCGGGAGTTGGCTCTCTCCTTCCACCATGTGAGTCCTGAAGAATGAACTCAGTCCATCAGGCTTGGTGGCAAGGGCCTTTTCCTGCTGAATAATTTCACTGGCTCCAAATTCTTAACTCTTGCTTGAACACACTCTTAATAAAGATACTTACCAAATTGGACCAGGTTGGATCTTCATCTTCGCATCTCTAATATCGTTATAGTTTACAATAGAGTTTGAATTTTTGTTCTGGTTTTGCATGCTGTAACTGCATGCCTTACAGAGCATGATGAGATGAAGCCTTGTACTTATCAAATAGACAGCGTGGGTCTTGTACATGCTGTCACTATTGATGCAAGTTCATATAAGCTCCTCTTTCCTTCTGTCCATGCACCAACCCTGGTTCTTACAGTCTTTCTGCATCCCTCTTCTGCAATGGTCTTCTGCAATGAGCCATGGATTGAGTGATATTTAATATAGGAGTCCTATACAGGGGCACATATTCTGCAATCTCTTATTCTCTACACTTTGGCCAGTTGTGGCCCTCTGTGTGCATTGCACTCTGTTGTATGAGGAAGCTTCACTGGTGAGAGCTGAAGGATGTGTTAGTATTTTTTCTGCCCCCAGTTCCACAATATTTCATAAGCCTTAGGTGTAAAGGTTCCACTGAAGATATGTGACTTAAGACTTGGCATCTCTCAAACATAGTCTCTGTATGTGACCAGTTGCAGAACTCTGTAATAATCTCCATCTGTTGCAAGAAGACGCTTCTTTGATAAGTGGTGTATAATATACTTGTCTATAAATATAAGGATCCATATTTAGCATACAGTAAGAAATTTCATTTGTCTAGAGATATGACAGAGGTAGGGTTTTCTCTAGGATCTATCACCCCTACAGTCATGTGTCTTTGGCTATATTTACAGTCACTCATCTGTTCCCTCCCATTGAGAAGGCTTTAAGTTCAATTAGATAGCTGTTGATTACTGCTCCCACCCCAGATAAAAGTGCCAATAATGCACCAATAGAGATAGTTTGCTGTGTTATCGTTGTGGTTATTAGGCTTTGCATCTTGGTTGCACTGTTGATTGATTTTCTCCCTTAACAGCTTGCATAGTATCCTCTAGAACTATGAAAGCTAGTCTTCAGGGAGAAGGCTCCCAATTCAATTCCAGTTTCCTTGTTCCAAGTCCTGTGTCTGAAGTATGTCCTGTCTTCAACAATAGGACCTTACCTTCAATTTTAGGAACTGTATTAAGATGTTGCATGTAACCCAAAGAAAACTTTTCTGCCTTCAACAAGTTCATGGTCTGGGTATAAGCAGGTAAACATGGAAGATGTCTTTCCTTCAAGCCACCTATTACTTTCCAGTGTGTATTATAGTCTATTGAAACATTCAATAGAAGAACAGAGAAAAATATAAGCTTATAAGGCCATCAGTATGGCTCAGCAGGTAAGGGTGCTTGCAGCCAGGTCTGATGACTGATTTCAATCCTTAAGATCCACATGGTAGAGGGTGAGGACTGTCAAGGTTTTTTACACATGTGTACTGAGGTATGCATGCCCCAATGTAATAAATAAAGATAACAATATAGCAGTTTATATTCTCATCAAGGAAAACATGAAATAAATGATAAATACAAGTATAAATGATAAATATACTTGGACAAGAAACAATTGAGCAAAGAAATGAAGATTAGCAGTATAAAGTTGAGAAAGAGCAGTGCAGATTACCAGTTAAGATAAGGTTGTTTATTAGGCCTCACTGGGAAGGAAATATTTGTGCAAAAGTTTCAGAAAAAGAGAGAGTCACACTGGTATCTGGGAAAAGCATCCTAGCTACTGCATGGCTCTAAAGGCAGCATGGTGGAACAGGAGAGTAAAGATGAAGTCAGAAGGATAATGAGAAGCAGTGCTTCCTGTAAGGCATGGGCATCAGTTGATTTCCTCATTGCTTTTACAAAATACCTGGAAAAAATAGCTTAAGGATTCTTTTCCTGGTGGAGAAGGCATGACAGTGAGAGGGTGAAGTGGCTGTCCACATTAGTTCTGCAGTCAGGAAGCAGAGACAGATGAATGCTGTGTTCATCGGGCTTTCCTGTTCCTTTCCCCATTTTTATTCAGTATGGGTACGCAGGTGAATATTCCTTAGTTAAACTTCTCTAGGAATATTCTCACAGACAAGCCCAAAGGCATGCCTTCTGGGTTATTCTAAAGTCCGGTAAGTTGACAATGAGAGATAACCATCATAAGTGCACCCAGCGTCAGCTTGAAATCTAGACACATCAGTTTGAAACCATTACGTTCCTCTCTGCACCCCCATGGACTCATAGCCATATCATAATTTAGAATGTATTCAATATAGCTTCAAAATCCCCAGTCTTAACAGTATCAACACTGCTCAAGTCTAAAGTCCCTTGTGAGACTCAAAACAATCTCTTAACTGAAAGCTCTGATAAAATAAAAACACTAAGATATATTTTTCCAATGTAGAACATCATAGAGTAAACACTCCTATTCAAAAAGTGATGAATGGGAGGATAACAAAGAAAGTCCTGATAAAAACAAAAACAAAACCACAAAGGACAAATATCAAACACAGCCCTCCTATGTCAAGGATCTGGGGTTAGTCATAGAATCATCTGGGTTGCAAGGGGCTTGTATAGACCAACCCCTCTGGCACATGCAATACACGTATCCCTCTCTTGGGCTTCTTCTGTCCCATGATATCCTTGGCAGATATTCAGCAGTCAACAGTTCTGGTATCTCTGACATCCTGGTTTCCATTTTAACGTGGGCTTCACCCTAACAGATTCTTCTAGCTCCTTGTAGAGAATCTGATCTTATCCCACATTGATTGGCCTTGGTAGACTTCGGGACCCTTGGTGCAAGCTTCTACCATCCATAATTCTTGCAAACCCAGCACCATATGAACGATGCTGCCAAGTTCTGTGGCCAGCTCAAGATGTAGTCTGGCCCCCTCCTCCCATAGCTGCAATGGTCTCTGTGTGTTTTGCTGGCTGAACCTGAGCAAAAATCCTAAGTGGTTGTTTTGGAGTAGGAAATTCCTTCAGTGATGTATTGAGTTCAGTCTTTCTCCTTTCAAATGATATTTAAAAATATTTTATTCTTTCTTTGAGAATTTTGTACAATGTATTTTAATCATAATCAGATCCCCTCCCCCATCTCCACTCCCAATTTACTACTCGCTGACGTCATGACCTCTACCTTTTTATTATTTTTTTAAAGTCATATTGAGTCTAGTTTGTATTCCCCAAGTGTTCTTGGGTATGAGTCTATCCCCTAGGACCTGATCAGCCTACCCATCAACACAGGTTTAATGAAAACTGACTCCTCTTCTAGCAGCTTCCAATTGCCAATACTTTCTCTGCTGGGGCTGATGTTTTTGGCCCACCTCCCCTATCCATTCTGAGATTTTATTTGACTTGAGCTTAAGCAAGTGTTGTACATGCCTGAGCACTTCTACAGTCTCTTATTCTCTAAATGTTGACCAGTTGTGTGTCACAGTGTTAATCATCATCTGCTGCAAGAGGAAACTTCTCTGATGAGAGCTGAGAGGTATATTAATCTGTGTATATAACAACATGTCATTAGGAGTCAGTTTAATTCTTTGCTCATTTAGCAGGATAACAGCAGTCAGTTCTCCCAAGTGGTCTGTGCACCTTCAAAATGAACAGAGGTGACTAATGACATCTTATAAGCCATTAGATGTAGACAGAGGGAGAAGGAGTCTGTGAAGTATGCTAGATTTCTAGCAAACATCTGGCAGATAGGCATTATTTATAATCTGGGAAGGATTAGAGTGATGACTTTCTGGAATAGGTGATAAGTTCAGTGTCAGACAACACTAAAGCTGAGATTTCAAGTGACATTTGTCTGTAGCTCTGATAACGGGCAGGGACACCAGATATAGTAACCTTGTGGCTAAGATCACCTGTAAGTATTTTGTTAAGGGAGAAGCAAACTGAACATTTCAAGATCAATGGCATTTAAGGGTTGGACAGGAAAAAAAAGAGAAAAATAAGTAGCATCATGATAATCAAGGAAAGAAAAACTCAGAGAGGTTGAAGCAAGGGATGAAATGTGAGCATGTTTCTCCAGGCAGCAGAAGGCATGTCCATACAACCTAACCCATCTGGGAAAACTGGATGAATTGCCTTGGACTTCACTAATCCTTTGAGTCATACCTTTAAAAACCTGATCCAGGGCTGAAGAGATGGCCCAGTGATTGGCACTGGCCGCTCTTACAGAGGACCTGGGTTCGGTTCCCAGCACCCACATGGTGGCTAACAACCATCCATAACTTCAGTTCCAAGGGATCTGAAACCCACTTCTGTGATCTGTGGGCATTACATGACATGGGTGCACTTGCACACATGTAAGCAATATACTCATACCAATAAAATAAAAATAATAAATAACATTTTTTTTTTAAAAAAAAAACATGATCCATACTCCTGTTAAAAACAGATGGAGCTTTTTAAAGAGCATAGCATGACTCTAAAAGGTTCATTGCCTTCAGAAAATAAACTGGCAGGCAGGTGGTTCTTACCACAACAGTTATAGAAGAGAATTCCATTTTAACATGAACACTCTGGATTCTTCAAACAAAGACACATATGCATTCACATTCATCAGAAAGACTGTGTCAGTGTGTGTGTGTGTGTGTGTGTGTCTGTGTCTGTGTAGTCACTCAGGTTTGAATTCCATCACTCTCTTCTCTGGACTTGCTAGAGCAGATGAAGTAGCTCTGCTGCAAATACAGCATGGAAACATTTTAC